CCCCCCCCCGCCCCCGCATAGCATCCTCTGCTGGGAGTTGCCAGGAGCTCCCCCACACACAGCGCCCCCTGATGGGAGAGGCTGGGCTCCACCCCGCACAGGTGTCACGTGACTGAACAGCGCCAACACAATTTTACCTGCTGAGACGACTGTTTATTTTACTGCAGATGGACAAATCCAGACGGCACCACCTCCAAGTGAGTACAGCAAGGGGCTGGGCCAGCACTATAGTCATGGGGACAGGGCAGGCACCAGGAAGCTGTACTCTCCTGGTCTGGCCACGAGGCTGCCCTGGTGCAATCGGAGACCCTTCCTCCGCGACCTCTGCATGGCCCGGATGGAGGCTGAGCCCTGCACTTTGGGACCATGCACAGATGGGCCCAGACACCCTGCACCAGAAACTCTGCCACCCTAACCAATAGCCTGCCAGGCTCTGGGGCTAGCCCCTCTCTGCTTGTCCCAAGGTATGCGTGCTTCTAGCATCCTTTTGCTTGCACCATGTTTCTCTAAGATGGACATGGTAGGTCCGGGCTGGGAACTGGGGAGGCTGGGGTCAGTAGTGCTGGGCTCAGTGTGACCAAGCTGGGGTCAGCAGGGCTGGTGTTGGTGCAGTGGGGCTGGAGTGGCCCCTATGGGGTCAGGATTGATCTGAGGGGACCAGGTCAGCACCGTGGGACCAAGTCAGTGCCATGTAGGCCTGCTCCTGCTCCCCATTACTCTCCTTCGGTGGAAGCCACACCCCCCCCCACCTGGAGAAGCCCGAGCCCACACATCCCAACCCAGAGGAGCCCTGGGCCAGCTGCAACCCTGCCACCCGTCCCTTCCCAGACCCCAGCTGCTCTGGGGAAAAGTGTCTTCAAAAATGTTTTTGACAAACCCTGTGCAGGTTCCAGGGCGGCTGAGCAACAAACACACCTGGGTAGGGTCTGAGGCAGGGAGAGGCGGCGCAGCTGCAGCTGGCCTGGGTCTCCCCCGGCAGCTGAGGGGGAGGGGGGCCCCCCCAGGCAGGTGGGGGCTGGGGCAGGCCAAGAGATTGCTCGAGTTCAGGGCCTGGAATTGTTTTCGTTGAGCCGGGCGCCAAGGGGGCCGGCTCTCTGGCCATTTCGCTCCAGTCACCTGCCCTCCCTCACAGGCTCTTCGGCTTTGTGGCTAAGAAGCAGGGCAGCCCCTGTGACCTCTTCCCCCAGCTGGCCCCTGAGCAGCCTGCCTCAGCCATCGTCAACTTCATCACCAAGGTCCGAGTTCAGGGCCTGGAATTGTTTTCGTTGAGCCGGGCGCCAAGGGGGCCGGCTCTCTGGCCATTTCGCTCCAGTCACCTGCCCTCCCTCACAGGCTCTTCGGCTTTGTGGCTAAGAAGCAGGGCAGCCCCTGTGACCTCTTCCCCCAGCTGGCCCCTGAGCAGCCTGCCTCAGCCATCGTCAACTTCATCACCAAGGTCATGCTGGGGATGCATAGAAAATGAGCCGAGGAGACGTGGGCGCTGGCCTTCGCCCACAGCCTGCGGAGGGCGCCAGCCCTGCACCTGCCACGCTCAGCCAGGCACAGGGGCTGGGCAGCAGGAACCCTCACTCAGCCTCTGGCCTGGGATGTGGGCGCCGGGGACAGCTTCTGCCACAGGCCCTCGGCCTCAAACCTCCATATTGAAGGAAGGGGAGGGGGTTGTTTGGTGGCAGGGGAGGGAAAGCTGGAGCCAGACCTGATCCCGTGCTCCCTTCAGTGGGGAGAGGGTTTCTTTTCCAGCCCCCCACCCCCAATCTCGGCGCTTTAGCCCCATCCACTCCAGCAAGTGCAACCAAAGGCACCTTCCTAACTGGGTGTCCAGTTCCGCCTCACACCCTGTGGTGGCACCTCAGGGGTTAATGCTCAGGGCTGGTGATCTCAGGGGTGCAGGATCCCAGGAGCCAGTGGGGGACATGGACCAGGGAGGCAACCGGGGGCTTGCAGAGGGGCCGAGGGATCCTGGAGCTGGACTGTAAGAGCTGAAGGAGCAGGGATGGGAGCCTAAGGCATTTGGTAAGGCCAGGGTGTGTTCCAGGGGCCCACCCAGCCCTGCCTAGGGGTGCCAGGCCTCTGAGCTGAGGAAACGGGAGGGAGATCACGGTCGGGCCAGGGCCACAGCACAGGAGTGGAGAGCAGAGCCAGCATAGTCTAGGGGGTGAGAGCTGGTTGGGCTGGCAAGCAGGACTCCTGGGCTTTAGCCCCAGCTCTTGGAGGGGCCTGGGCGCTAGAGCGGGTGGTGGGGCTGGGTACTAGGACTCTGGGATCTAGTCTGCTGGGCTGTCAGTACTAAGGTGGGAGGCAGAAGCAGGTTGTCCCAAGGAGGCCCAGCAGGGCTTCCAGAGCCCCAAGAGGGACAGGCCTTTGTTTGGAGCAGGAGCTGCTGGCCATGGACTTGGGCCAGCCAATGCCGCATAGCACCTGCTGCTACCAAGCCCAGCTGGGGCTAAACAGCTGTGTGTGGCCATAGTGGAGGGCTCATGGGAGCAATGGATCAAAGCAGAGCAGAGTCCTCTGAGGCAGAGAAAAAGCTGCATCCAGCCTATGCTTTCTAGTGCAGGGCTGGAGTCTGCCCCTCCTGCCGGGGTGGGTGGGATTTCATGAAGGGAAGAGATCTATTTTTGTCTAATAAAGAATTTCTATGAGCTTCAGTCAGAGATCTCTCTACTCGCTCACCCTGTGAGATGTACAGCTCTGCTGGTCTGCCTCATCCAGAGGCGTGGTCATCAGTCAGGTTCCAAGCCAACATCCTGAGCAGTGAGATGAGGGCCAGGCTGGAGAGAGCCCAGACGTGCTCACCCCACCCCATCGCTGACCTCTAAAACACCACTGGCCACTCCCATCGCCAGGCACGAACTTCCCCCGCCCTCCCCAGCAGCATAAGCCTATGCATGGGGCATGATGCAGGGCACACAGAGCTGCTCCCTTCCTTGTCCCCAATCAGCATGAGCCGGCAGCTCTTCCTGCAGTCAGCAAGAGAGCACCTCCGGCTGCCCCACTAGCTATTCCACCTGGCTGGGCCTCTGGGCTGGAACTAGCATGGGCCAGGCCTTGGCTCTTGCTTCCAACAAAGCGCACAAAGATGATGAGCGGGAAGTTGCCTGCAAGTGGCGACCACCCCAGAACGAGGCAGCACCTATGTGGCCCCATGACAGACAAACTCCTCCACATCGGGCAGCCCGAGCTCAGGCCGGAGGGTTCAGATTGCCCAAGGTGGGGAGGTAAAAATCAAAGCAGCAGGCGCCCTGGCAGAGGTGCCATGGTTCCAGGCAGCTCTTTGGCTGCTCAG